TTTTTTTTTTTTTTTTTTTTTTTTTTTTTTTTTTTTTTGATAAAATTATATATCCTAAAAAAATGATTTTTCATACGGATAGAAATAAAACGATTGTTAGGAGTATAATTGTAACATTTATTAGTTGCATATATCACTTGTAGATAGAATTAGAGAATCGATCAACAGTAAAGAGAAAAATAACGAACAACGAGTGACTGACAGATTGTTTTCAATTATTTGGTTAGACTCAAACCGACAGCGTACATATCGGAGATGTCTGATAAAATTTTATTTTTTTTACGGTGCGTTTGTTTTTTAAGGAAGCTGCGACTCTTGCTTTTCGTCGTCGACACGGGTGTGACTTTCTCAATTGGCGATGTAAGTATAGAAGGCAGTGACGGTACTTCTGGTCGATTAATCATGTTTCTTTTGTATTTTTTCATGGTATCTCGTATCATAGTTTTGATGATCTAAATAAAGAAATCAAGAGTAAAAAAAATTCGTTAATTAATTTTCAAGTATTAATAAAAGTATTAATTTAATGAAAAATTTGTATTAATATTAACATTATTAACCTTGTCCTCATTTTTTCTCAACGGTTTCTCGGATTTAGGCGCCTCTTTTGTTGATTGCTCCTGAAGAGCCATGATTTTCGAGATCAACGTTTGTCTCGAGGATATATCCAGTTTACTGCCTGCAGTGTTGGTGGACATGTGTAATTTTCGTGCCGGTTTATGTGAAGATCTTTTTTCGTTATTCGAAGATTTAGTGTGGTTCTATAAAACATGTAAGATTAAATAATATTAATCAAGCAGAACAAAAAAATCACAATGATGTCAAAGTGACTTCAAAATGATTATTAAAAGTCATTCGATCAATCACGATCTACTTTAACATCATTCATTTTTTAAATTATCATAACCTGTTCTGCTTGGATAATAGTTATAACAGCAAGTTGAATAATCATTAATTTTAGAGAAGAAGGACCAATTTCTAATATAATTATAAATAATAATTACCTGGACGTTAATTTTGGACGGAGTAGGTGCTTTTGCTTTGTTGATAGATCTGCTGATTGTTGTTATATCTGCTGAAGTACTCTTTGTCATAGTATCCGCTTTCTCATCAGAAATCGCCTTTAAAGGCTTCGTCGGTGCAGTCGCTGGAAGTGCTGATCTCGACTTAGGCGAATTGATGTTATAATAAGAACATTCTTGATCGAGCTGAATCTCCAGTTCCTCGATGAGATCGACGATCACTGGTCCAATGTTGCTATGTACCATTGGCTTCTTTTTCATCTGTCGATGGATAAATCAAATTCGAATCTCGATCTAACAATGCTATATCGTCTCTTATCTTTGTCTAACTTACCATTGGAGATCTTGCGACTAAGTTAGATTTAAAATCTTGATGCAAATTCCATTTCTTCTCGCAGATGGTAATACGAGTACCCTGAAGCGTCAGAGCTGCGCCTAAGTACGGTTGGCAACTCGGCAGTCTTTGCTTATATGCTAACTCAAAGTCTCCAGTATCCGCATTTTTATCTTCTCGAAAATCTACCACGACTGTATCAGCAAAAATACAATTTTTTACCCTAACAATGCAATAATGTGAAAGGAAAATAGTAATGTTTAGATTAGATTGTTAATTACCTTTAATGGTATCTTCCATCACTTGTCGACACAATCGCGTAGTAACACTGGTGGAGTAGCTCATGTCTGGATGACTGTTGATCTCGATCAGCCATACGGAAAAGTCCTCCATGATCATAAAATCAGCGCCGTACAATTCAAAACTGTTTTTCCGTCGATCCATGGCTTCTTGACTAGCCAATAACGAGCCCACTAAACTTTGTTTCATTCCTGGATAGATCTGTTCATCCCACGCATTAGCATGACCTTGAGATCTAAAAAATTTTCATGAGAATTATTCTTGCTTTATTTAAAAAAAGAAAAACTAAATATGCATAAATAGTACTTATAGTTACATAATAGAAATTCTTAAAAAATGCATGATTCTTTATGTGTAAAATACCTGAGGAACTCTTTGAATGTCGTTGCGTCCCACATATTGTCCGCGGGTAGAGCAGAGTCTCTGTCGCCGCAGTTATTGTATTTGCATTGAATTGCGTTATTGCACAGGTGAATCGACTCATGAAAATCATTCAGACTGAACTTTTGCGAGCAAAAACGAAGATAGCTTTCTCTGTAAACAAACAATAAACTTGACGAAATGTCTTTTTGTCTTGGCTGCTATTTTATTAGCGATAATTGCAGATAGCGTATTGTGTTATGTATATCGTCTGGATATTTATATCCGCAAGTTTGACTACCGAAGAACAGAATTGCGCGTTTTAATATAAACGAGGCATAAATTGATTATTACCCTACTTTTAAAACTATCATTCCTTATGGTTGAGTCGCTATTGTGTTTGTTAATTGTTCTAGCATGAGCAATGTTACGATATGTCGTGACTTATTTAAATTCTTGATATATTTACGTACTTATACATCCAAAGAGTTAAAGGTTGAGCGCACGTCACGATGAACCATTGTCTTATGTCGAATTTTGTATGGTGAATCAGAAACGGCCGTTCTACAGAAATAATCAGATTATTTTTAACTGAACGAATGAAAACACCTGCATTAATCAGCTAGCGCTCCATTGAAATTATTAATCGGAAAGTTTTATTACCGATATATTTCTGCACGACATATCGCGTGTCCTGTTTGCCTGTTGGATTTACTTTCGCTACTACGTCCTCCAACTTGTTCATCAGAACAATACCACGTCCCCGACTCTTGTTCCCAGGTTTTAAAATCCATATGTTCATTATGCCGTCCATTTCAATCTGCGGCCAGTACTTCCTTATTTTCTTTAATATGTGCTTTGAAGCCAGGATATATTTCTGTTGACAAGTACGACATATTTTTAAATGATAAAAAGGTATTATAAGAGAATAAATGCTTATAAGTAAATGAAGAAAAAAATATTATTTGCTAGTAAATATCTCACGTTGAAGGGCATGTTGGTGCGAATGAAGAGAGCCTGACCGCGAACTATCTGATAACACCAACTGATAAATTGATCCCACTGATGAGACCAAACCTTTTCACCTTCCTGATCAATGTCCTCGTGTGATTGAGCGCTGATATAGTCACTACATCTTTTGATCGCGAAATCAAGAACTTTGAGAGGCACGGTGCCGGTTGATGAACGTACAACGTCTTCATCCTCAGCATTGACTTTGTCCACCAACCATTTTAAGAGACTCAAACAGCCTGTGAGTCTAATGAAGCATCTTTGATTAGTTTTTTTATTATCAACAATTATGTATATTAAATATTTATATAATTTGGATATGTAGTGAAAAGTAAGTTTTTCTTTTTTAAGTTATCGGCAAACTCTCACCGAAAGTCCTCGATGAAAGCATGCATCTGATCGCTTTGACATATGTTGTAGCAACGTGGAAACAAAGTGTTAGCCACTCCAGCTTCGTAATACCAGTGCATTTGCCTGACGTTTGAACACAAGCCCACCTGAATAATTGATTTTCAAAGAAGTACATGCAACTTTATTCCTAACAATCGCCGTCACGCTCGCGAAAAGTGTGCATTCTCGCCAATCTTTGTAAACATCTCTATGCTTAAAAAAAAAGCAATTTTACGAAAGGTCAAGTTCGCCAAGTTTTTGAGAGAAATTATTCGCAAATATTCTTCTGTTAATATTAGAAAAATCATTGTTTATATTATGCGTGAACTGCAAAAAGAAAAATCAGTTGAAACTATAAAAGTGACAACATACTTATTATTATTATTATTATAACTATAAAATAGTTTATTCAACTATACATTAATTCTACATACGAAACTGTGTAATTGTTACCTTTATAGTTACTGCCACTTTTTTCTAAGTATAAAAATTAATACCTCATCAAAGTTAAAAATAGTTGAGGCACGGATGTGTATATGATACCTTAGATGTGAAGCCAGCTCGACAATATCGATTGAACACAGTAGTTTTATTATCTTGGGCAGGCCATCCGGGCCAGTCGGACCCAGTATTCCATAGAAAGTCAACGGTGTGATTGGCGAGCATCCTCGACATCAATAAACCTTCATTTTGCTGATCCTTTAAATTGCCGATTCCAGCCAGTAGAAGCACTGGGTTAGAATCGACGTTGAAATGTTGATCACCTAAAATCATTGTTATCAATTCAAAGACATATTAAATATACTAGAAATAATTAGTCAAATCATTTCTGACTGGATGAAGTGAGTGACTGTGCTCAAACTGCAACGTAGAGGAATGCTGCACCTTGCTGCACTTGAAAAAAAAACTAAAATCGTCCATTAGAGTAATTATAAAGTTGTACGTGATTTATTACCGCCGCTGTTCCTGCGATAAAATCTCTCACACCATCCTCGCTTCAACATGCAATCGCGAATGACCCGTGACTTGCCGTAAATCATAAAAGTATGATGGGCAGCTATAGCGTCCTTCACGGTTTGCTTAATACGCAAAAATCGCTCGTGAAGGGTTGGTTCTAAAGGCAGTTCTAAAGACGACTCACATTTGTTTTCCAGACAATCTGGTTCCTCTTTGACAAAAATTGTAAACGATATATGATTATAATATATTATTTATATACTTACTCTTGATTATTGATATGAATATTTCAAACCTTTGAGGGATTTGATATCACAATCTGTCGCATCCGTCTTTATCGCCACTTCCTCTCCGGGATTTTCATCTTCATTCTCAATGTTTTCTTTTTTGTCTTTCTTTTCTTCGTTTGAATTTTCCAGATTTGAAGAGGACCCATCCTTAGCATTCATGTAGTGGATCTACTGCACAGCTTCCCGCGCAAATGCGTTAATTTTCACGTGTTCTTCATTATTTCAATGGATTTCGGTAAAAGATATATTCAAAGGAAGCGCTATTGTTTTAATCTGAAACTGTTTTTGCAAATATATTTATATTTACAATTTATTAGATCAGATCTGAAAATACGTATTATTTCTAATAAAACTAATCTGAACTCTTCATTCATACGATAATTTTCCAGTTCCATACTGCAGGCGATGAGTCGTTCATGTTAATTGTCATCATTTTTTAAAAATTATTAAATGATTTTTACATCTTTAGTATAGTTGCACTTTGACATCTTTAAAAATTATTTGTAAGTATTTATATATTAATTTAAAAAATTGTATATAAATGTTATAACTAATTATTTAATACTCCTAGTATTCCAAAGAAAAAAAAATGTGCACAACACAAATGACTCAATCATATGTGAGGATCTAATGTTCAATATAGAAAAATTCTAGAACTATGTTCAAATTTCCACCACTCACATATTATTTTAACTCTGTTATTTATTAAATGTTAAATAAGGATAGTATAATATCTTTGGAGTACTCGGGAGGAGGGGGAGGAGAGGGGAGGAATCTGAACGCGACCCCAAAAATATAATTTAACACGAACAACGCGAGAATGAAGAGCATGTGTTTAGTTTTTAATAAAACTAGTAGCTTGTAAAAAAGCTCACTGCGTCACTTCTGATACCTGTTGAATCCTCGTTGTTGTTCCAATAAATACATTTTTTGCAGATATCAAAGAGTAAATGTATTTGCAAGACCAATTAATGACGTTGTTTCGAGGATCAAGTGAAGAATTAGTAGTCGCGAGGTAGATCGGTAGATTATTCGGAGATTGAAGATGAAAAACACTCCCGGATGGAAGTGGAGGCAAGACTGAACGACGACGATGTGGACACACGCGAGTGAGGTAGTAGAATTTGATATTTCGCAAGCGCGCGCCTCAGGGGTGTTTTAAAGCGCCCCTTATCGAAATAGTAAGATCGCACTGATATCAAGGAAATCGTTTAATGAAATCTCCTTCGCTTCTCCCTCGAGCCATTAAAAGGAACCAATCAGCTCAGACTAACTGGAGAAAAAATTCGATTCATAGGAAACTCTTTGCTGTACTGCCTTAATTATATTGTAATAGAATTTTTATAAGATTGTTTTCTTCATTTTTTTCCTTGTAAAGCAATAATTTTAATATACTCAAAAATAAGTCTTATTTGAAGTAAGATATTGATTTTTACAGGTTTTTTCAGTAATTTTTATCTCTGAAGCATCCAAATACTATTAAATTATAAAGTTATGATTCGAGAATTGTTATATAAATGAAATTAATATATTGTTAGAGAAATTTAATATTAAAAATATTAACATGTTATTTGAAAGTATTAAATTGTTATTGATTAATAATAATTAATTATAATTATTTTAAATATTGAGAGCACTGTTGTTCAGTATTTTTAAGATTCGAAATAAGTAATTAAACACTATCTTCCAGTAGGTATTAAGTCGGATTTCTGAAGGATATCCGATATGTGATAAGACATGTTCTCGAGTACTTTCTAATTGTTACTTGAGGGATGCGTACATATACAATGAACAAGGTAAACGATTGCGTTAACCTGGGCAATAATAGCAAACGAAACGTTCCTGGACACGTGAGCCTCACGGGTGGTAGTTGCAGAGCGCAAGGAGGAGCGTACCAGGCACCTCCGCACACCCCCGCAGCACACCCCCGTGCGACCTCCGGCTCCGTTAGAATATAGGCGAGGAAGTCAAAGCGATCACGTGGTTAATCGGACCACACTTCGTTCCTCGACTTTGCATGCACTCTGACCTACTTACACGGCTGCATCTCCGTGACCGCGTGGAGAAGTGGCGGCAGGTGGTAGCCTGATGAATCGTTCGTTCGGCCTGGTATCGCTAATTATGAGAGGGCAAGAGAGGATAAATCTCGATCTCCATTTGATAACTGATCTATTTTCGGCAACTAGCCAAATTCCGTTTCTGACACTAAATTTAGCGTTGATCGCGTGTGAGATAAGGCGCGCGCAAGCGCAGCGTTGATCTTCCCACGATACTTTGAAATTTTTAGGAATTTGCTTAACGAAACATTAATAGAATGGAGAAGCACAAAAAATTCGTGTGGTTGACATATCACTGTTGCTGACGGGCAGCATCGGCGACAGTAAAAGATGAAGTTGCCGATTACATCATCGCGTATATATGTGAAAATAATTTGTATAAGTATATGTAGGTACATACATATTTATACAAACATATACATATATGAACAAATTTCCATGAAATAATTACTGTAAAATAATAAGTTACATATAAAAAAGTAAAGTAAGTTCAAAAGTTACTATTTAAAAATTTCACCTATATGTATGTGGCATCGTTACGTGGATCTTTGTTTAATTTCCTTTAATTATCTAAATTTATTTTTCAATGCATAAGTTTCTTTCACGACTTCTTATCTTATATCGTTGAGATATTATCTACTCTCTTCTTATTTAACTTATATATAAGTATATATTATTATTTATATCGAGAGAATGTCAAGATTGCGTGACCTTTTTGGCGCATAATAATAAAAATGTCGCGTTCTTCAACACAATGACGATGCAGTTCTCCAAAAATTTTATTCTGGAACTTTCCACTTATTCCAAAAAAATTAATTGTGATAATATTTCATAACATCCATTTACATTAAATTTTTTATTAATTATTATATAATTGCTATTTTCATAAATATGAACGCCAATGATTAAAGTTCGAACGGTTAAAATTCGATATTTCGAAATAATGTATTCCTTAAATTTAAAATATGATTGCACATCGAAATATTTGAATAATGTCCAAATGTATTAAATCCTGTATTAAATTCTCTCAGTATCAATTTATTCCCTGTGCGCCGAAATCTTCGAACTTTCAACCCAGGTAGCCAAGCGAGATTTAGCATATGGAACAAATTGATGCACTGCATGTATTGTTTTCAACTTGTCGACAATTTGTTGTCATTGGAATCTAATGAATTGAGTTAGCATCAGAAGAATAAATAGATTTACGAAATTGTAAGAGTATACATTGAGAAATAATAAACTCGTCAACAATTGATAGCAAACTGATGCCATGCACGCATGATGATGACAACTTGTCAGCAGTTTGCCGAATTCTAAGGAGAACTTTACGTGACATCAATTTGTGGAAACACCTTGACTTTAATTTGATGAATTGCGGAATAATGATAGTAAAATGGCAACATATTGTCCTTATTTGGCTATCTGGGAACATAATTAATTTGAGATGCTATAATAATTCTCCCTAAATTAAATTAAAAAAACTGTAAAGAACTTGTGAAAAATATTATCTCAGCCAGGATTCGAACCTGGGATTTCTCGACTTTCCGGGACGACTGTTTTTTTTTTTATATTAAATGTATTATATATTGCTATTTTCATTAAGAAATACAAATGTATTAGAAGGGACATCGTATATTTGATCGTTTTCCTGACTTTGATATTTTTTTAATTTTTGTCAAAATAATTCGACTAACACTGATTTAATATGTTTAAATTTTAATTAAATTTATTTAGATAACTATATAATGTCTATGATAGTATAATTTATTATTATGTTTACAAATAATAAATTAATTTTATCTTGTCTGCCTTTCAAATATCTGTTTTTCTTGAAATAGTCCAACTAACATTAAATATTCATAGAAAATTCGATTCATATTTTCCAATGTACCGAATATTCCGATACATGAAAGAATTGTTACAAAATATTCAAATGTTGATGAAATGTTGCAGAATATTGTATGAATATTCCACGTATATATCACGAAAATCGCGAGTGAGCAAGTAGTACACATTTCCGCCGTGGAAGAACAGATAAGGTCGTGGCGGAGAACTCATTAATAAGAATCATCTGGGAGAGATAATATAAGGAGCGCAGCATTTCGCCTGTAATCTACGCGACTCCACTATAGGCTGCCACATCTCATACTCATTTGGCTCACCTTCAGCGAGTGCAGAACTATTGTCTACGCATCATTCTTGCCAATTCTTCGGTATACATTAATTCGGTATACATTAATTACTGATTTACGTACTCTACTCAAGTGCAAAATCTATTGATTCTGTTATTGATCTCAAATGAATCTCTTGCTCATATAATGCCCACCATCAAAATATACTTTTCCGATAAGTTGGGAATTATAATCTAAAAGTGCTGAGATTTACTTGCACATTTCGGCCGATTTTCAACTTGGTTCTTGCCTCTTTATCAATCCGTGCGCTTAAATGCCAATCAGTCGAAGTGAAGTAAAAGGGGCAGGAATCAAGCTAAAAATTGATTGAAATGTGCAAATAAATGGATCCCAGTACTGATCTAAAAGATTTATCGTTTCGCATTAAATATTGTTTATTAAAATTGTTTACTCCGCTGCTTCCATAGATTACGCTCATTTTCTGTCGTCTTATACGATGCTCTGATATGTTTTTATCTTGTCTACTCTTGTTGTGCTATGTTGAAGAACCATCTTTATTTTTTATCTTTTCTAATTTGTTACAATGCCTTGCTATTACTGAGAGTAATATTTAAATGTAATATTCTCGTCAATTGAACAATATAAGGGCCTGCGCACAACAAGTATTAGAACAAATATTAACAACAGGAATAAATATTAAGATTTCAATCTAACAGATATCAGTTACATTGGAATATATGCTTTCTGATAGATTGAAATATTTTAGATCTTAATATTTATTCCTATTCCTAATATTCCTCCATTGGGCGCAGAATCTAATTGCAACAAACGAGAATGGATTGAAATTTCTTTTTACCCGAATGTATTTCAGCATATTTTAAATAGTGAAATACTTTTTTTTCGATTTAATTGGATTCAATTAGATGCAATTGGAATGAAAAACTGTATTTCCTATTTAAAATTTTGAATTGAACTATTCACAATGTGTGTGTTATGAAAAAGCTAATATTATTTTTAGATTGAAAAGCATAGAGATATGCTCCATGCAATTCCTAATAAATGAATAAAAATGCATTCAGGATTGAAAAGCATTTCGTTTTAACATTCGTGAATCAATATTTCTGAAAATCTGAATCCATTTCAATTCATTTCAATCCATCTCATTTGCTGGGTGTAGTAAAAATGAAGATAAAGGCCTCCGCACAATAAAAGGAACAGAGAACAGAGAATAAGAATTTTAATCTATCAGAAATCATGTATTGTGGAATACACAGTTTCAGATAGAAATTGAAATTCTTATTCTCTGTTCTATGTTCTTTTTATTGTGCGAGGCCCTTTATACATAGATGTCGCCATATTGAAAGTTAGACCCTAGCACCTCTGAACTTAACAAGCAAAACTATTTAAACAATGTGAATTATGTGGTAAATTATCGTCTATTTGTATCATAAAATTAAATTAATACTTTCAATAATTTCTATATTTTAAATTGTCTATCTGCTATATTTTGTTTACAAATGATCAAGGCTATTTCATTATTTTTATAATTAGTAACTATGAACAATAATCAATAAAAACTTATAATAAATCAGTGTAATAAATAAGATTTTGATTTAATTTTTATTTCGAGGTAAAAAAATTGATTTTTTTTCATGCTTTGTTCTGGGCTGTGTTCCAAATTTACTGCCAACACTGAAAATGCTATAGTTTACGTCACGTGCATTATAGATTTTCAGTGCTGGCAGTAAATTCTGAAACACAGCCCTATTATCATCCGAGAGATCACTCAAAAAGTTATTCTATGTAACTGATAAACATTACTACTGATGCCGTGAGCGTCAATAATGTGAGTTGGCAGTATTATCACTTGGCATTGATTTATGTTTAAAATAATTTTTTGTTGCTTATTACTGGTTAATTGAGACGGCGATAACGAAAAATCAAGATTTTATGGACGTCTAATCTGAGCCTCTTATATTCCACGTGCATTTACATCGCAAAATAGTACATTGCAGTCGATGAAGACGGAACAAATTGCAGCAATATGGCAGAATATATCAGAAAAGCAACGTTATTTTTGTTTACTCAGGAATGCATAAAGGAGTACTTCAATAAATTCAATTTTTTTCACGGTATGTTCGCTCCGATAATATTACATTTTATTTTTATCGCAAGCTTTTTTACGATTCTTCAGTGACATTTTATTTCTGACATGAAAGCAGTAATGTTTCCGACATTTAAAATTTAAAATTACACTCGAATTTAAGTGACTAATTAATCTTATAAAAGTCGAAACTATTCTTATGTAATTTTAGATATTGTTGCGCGATGTTTGATTGTTTTGTATATGACATTCAAATTTGTTGGTAACTTGTGAAATCATTGAGATTAAAAATGAATTTTTTTAATTAACATAATCACACATACAAGTAAAGTATGATTATCTTGAAAATGTTTCAGTCGGATGCTTCAAGACAACATTGAGCAAAATTCTGGGACTGGGCATCGTTGGAGGTTCCTTTCTTGGTTAGTATGTTATAGATTTTAGATATAAAGATATTTACTTCAACTGTTGCTTCAAAAATATATAAACTAAAGTATTTTATATAACAACTATACTCTTATGCATAATTATCATAAGGAATGTAGTTTATTATTAATGTAAATCCTGGAAAAAAATATTATATAAACATATTTTATATATAATTATATATAAATGTCAATTTTTTAATATAATTATATACAATTATATATATATATATTTATGAAACATTTTTTTTCAGGAATATTACTTATTCTGATAGCAAAGCTTATGGAACAGATGTTGAGCATGGCCAGCTACTAATTTTTGATTGCAGAAAACAAATTGTACCCAGAGTTTGTATTATCTGACATTGTCGGCAAATTGTTGTCAGAAATATGACAAAGCCTGCTGGATATGTTTCGGCAACAGAAACCGAACAAAGTCCTGCATAACTTGACAACAGATTAAGAACAGATTGAGAGCAGAACCTTTTTTGTTGAATTTGAGCGAACTCTGCTCGATTTCTGCTACCAATTTACTGGCATAGCCTGTCAGCAGGCTTTGTCGACAAATTCA